TTTCTCGGGAGCAAGCGTCGTCAAGTGCGCAGAGGGCCAGGGTCCTTCCTTCGCGTTCTGCCGGCCCGTCAAGCGGCCTCAGCCCCCAGATCGCCCAGCCAGCCTGGACACGTGCTCGGGCAAAGCCCGGAAACGGTGGGAAGCAGACGCCTACCGGCTGCCGCCCTACATGTATGAGGACACGAACCCGTTTTCCAGGCCACTGGCTGGCCTCGCCGCCTCCGCGCCGACGAACAATCCCTGCTGCTCGGCTTCCCACCGCAGTTTCTGAAACCGTGCGAGAAGCTTTCCAGGAAGGGCCAATTTGAGGATTGTAAAGGGCACCTTGACCGGCAGCGCGTTTCCTTCGGTGATCGCTGCCCGGCTCCTGGTCCCGTTCGTCTTAGGCCAAGCGGCTGGCCTCGAGCAGGCGCCCAGCTTCGGGTCGCTATGGCGGGCGTGGGCGACGATCCAGGATGCCCACAACGAGCAAGCGAACCTTGGTTGGACTGCGCGCTACGGAGGCCCTCCGGCTGCGCCCCCAGGACCGCCACATAATTCTCGAACCCATGCTCGTCTTGAGCCCGCCGCGGAACTCGTCCAAAAGTTTTTGCGCGCAGCGGATCACAAAGGCACTGCTGTGCGTTTGGACGCGGGCCAGCCGTGCCGTTCGTCGGCGTGGCCCCGGGATCCCATCGATTCTGGATTGTGGACCTGGCGCGTTGCGCTCTCCAACGAGTTCAAGAATCCGCAGCGCATCAACGTGTTGGAGGCCACGGCCGTTTTCGACTGGGCGCGCCATTCGCTCGAGAACGGGAAAAACCACAAGCAGAGAACCTGTATCCTTTTGGATTCGCAAGTGGCCATTGGTACGCTGACCAAGGGCCGTTCATCGTCCCGTCAACATAATGCTGTTCTGCTCCGCCTCGGTGTCCTCGCCAGGTTTGCGAACTTCCAGGGCTTCTACGGCTGGGCCCCCACTGACCTGAACCCCGCCGACGGGCCCAGCCGGTGGCGAGCAAAACGATGACCAGGAAAGTGTTTGGCCGCATCACGCAGCGGCGCGCCACAGGGCAACGAGCGGGAGAGAGACAGCTGAAAGGACGATTACGGGACCAACTTGTTCCACCTCGAACCCTTCACCGTTATGCGCTCGCTGTGCGGGCCTACTTCGATTTCTTCGCGGGGTCCGGACATGGGCTGCCACGTCGCCGGTCGCGCTGGACCAGAGCCTCGAGTCTTACATTGAGGCGCTTTGGGAGCTCGGCGAATCCAAATCCATGGCCGGTGACGTGCTCAGCGGGCTAGGACACTTTCTCCCAGCAGTTCGGCGGCAGATGTCTGGGGCATGGCGTCTGCACGGAGCGTGGGGCCGCGCGGAATTGCCTGCGCGGGCGCCCCCTCTCGCACCACTTTTTGCAGATGCCCTCGCTCAGGCTGCTTTCAGACAGGGTTGGTAGGACTTTAAGCTATTCCTGGTTCTTGGCTTCGATACGTTCGCGCGCCCAGCGGAGCTCTTCAATGCTCGCGTCCGTGATTTTGTTGTGAATGCTGTATCGGGCCAGGGAGTTTGGACTCTGCCACGCAGCATATCTGGAGAGCGGCCATGGAGCCATGGAGACCATCTCCCTTGATGACTCTTGGGTTGTCCGTTTGATAGCCTTGTACATCCACAACATGGCGCCGGACCGGTTCCTGTCGACCTCCAGCGGGCAGACGCACCGGCGGCGGCTAGCAGTGTTGTACCAGGAGTTCTACCTGAATTCACCATGGTTTCCGCTGGCACTCTCTGCGCCGGGGCGGCGCGAAGCACGCGTTCAAAAAATCCAACAACCTGGGGGGATTATTATTATTATCATTCAAAGGCCGCTGGAACTGCGCCAAGACTGCGCGGATTTACCTCCAGGACGGCGTGGCGACCTTGAGCCAGTTAGTCCTCCCGCCCCGCATCAAGCTTTTCCTCCACCAGCTGGCTGGCACCCTTCGGCCACTGCATCCCGGATTTTTGACGTCTTCTGTCGTCGGTTTCGCCAGAATGGGAGTGGTGGAGGGTTTCCTCGGGGTGCTGCAGGTCGCTGTCGCTTCGTGCGGCGGCGGCCGATTGCACCCGCAGGGGCTGGCGAGCAGCCTTGGGAGACGGAGAGCGCCTTTTAAGGCCTTCGTCTGGCCGCTGGCTGTGCTCGCGTAGGCGGCTCGCGGCGTGTCCGGGGGCTGTCGCTGCGAGCGCGGCCGCCGCCCGCTCCTTTGAAGGAGCGCCCGCATACTGTACCTGAACTTCCTGCGTGGCGCCTGCGGAAAAGGCAACAGTGGCGCACCACAGGAGCCGGAAGAGAGAGGAACACTAGGACTAGGATGCAAAGGAGAACTCGATCCACAACACTATAGAGCACAATCGTGGCATGGCACAGCGCAATCCAGCACTGCGCAGCACAGCACAGCCTTCGGCAAGGTACATCAAAACCGCTACACTCAGCATTGGCTTTGCCCGTTGCCCAATCAGGTTTCTTTGAAACGTTGCCATGCCTTACATTCTCGATTCCTTTCCGGGTTCGTGGGTCGATCATGTTTTTCCCGGAAAGGGCGCTGGCCCAGGGTTTTCTTATTGATGTTTACCCCCAGGTTCGACGTGAAGGAGGCCGGCGGAATTATTTTGCGATAGATGACGAATTTGAAGGAGGCCGGCGAAATTATTTTTGAGGATGTCTCGAGCGAAACGCTTGTTGTTCAGAATTTGTTGAGTCTGTCTCGAGCGAAACGCTTGTTTTGTACTATAGATTGTCCCTTCCCGGGAACCAGAATTCAGAGGATCTATAAAGTGAAATGCTTGTTTTCACGTGCCCAGGTGTTGAGGATGTCTCGAGCGAGACGCTTGGTTTCACTCGTCCTCGTCGCCCGGGCGGATGTCTAGCATGAGGATGTGCTGAGGAAGTCTCGATCGAGATACTTGTTTGGACGTGTTCAGGTCGCCCAGGCGGATGCCTAGCATGAGGATGTGTTGAGCCTGTCTCGAGAGATACGCTTGTTTTCACGTGTCCAGGTCGCCCAGGCAGATGTCTAACATGAAGATGTGTTGAGGATGTCTCGAGCGAGACGTTTGCTTTCACGTGTACAGGTCGCCCAGGCGGATGTCTAGAGTGAGAAGGTGTTGAGGATGTGTTGAGCGAGGCGTTTGTTTTCACGTGCCCAGGTCGCTCAGGTGGATGCCTAGCCTGATGAATTTGACAGGATGTCTCGAGCGAAACGTTTGTCCCCAGCACGTTCCGTAGCGCGTCCCCTTGGCACGTCCCGCGGTGCGTCCACATGGCACGTCGCCTTGCGCGTCCCTTGAGACGTTCCGCTGCGCGTCCTCCTGGCATGTCCCCCATGTAATTAGCTTTGGGGCAGCTACTATGTGTTCAGGCAGCTCGAGCATAAGATCCAAATCAGTTCGGTCAGGACTCGGATGCAAAGGAGGACTCGATCCACGACGCTATAGAGCACACTCGCGTCATGGCACATCGCAAGTCAGCACGGCGCAGCAGAGCCCAGATTTCGGCACGGTATATCAAGATCGATACACTCAGCATTGCGACTTGGCACGTTCCTTGGCACATTCCGTGGGGCGTCCCTTGGCGAGTCCCCCTGGCACGTCGCGCGGGGCGTCCCCTGGCACGTCCCGTGACACATCCATTGGCACGTTCCGCATCACGTCCTCTTGGCACGTCCCGCGGTGCGACCCCATGGCACGTCCCCTGGCACGTCGCCTGGCGCGTCCCTTGAGACGTTCCGCTGCGCGTCCTCCTGGCATGTCCCCCTGTCAATTAGCTCTGGGGCAGCTACTATGTGTTCAGGCAGTTCGAGCTTCAGATCCAGATCAGTTAGGTCAGGACTCGGATGCAAAGGAGGACTCGATCCACGACGCTATAGAGCACACTCGCGGCATGGCACATCGCAATTCAGCACGATGCAGCACAGCACAGCTCTCGGCAGGGTACATCAAGATCGATACACTCAGCATTGCATTTGCCCGTCACCCAATCAGGTGTCTTTGAAAACGTTGCCACGCGTTACATTTCTATATTCCTTTCTGGGTTCGCGGGTCGATCATGTTTCAGATCAGCATCGCGTTTTCGGTTGGCGTCGCATTTCGTTGCAAGGGGGGCTACGTTTCCTATTCCAGTCAGCCCCTTCATCCTTGCAGCTCGCTTTCCGGATACAGTCTTCGGCTAGTGCCCTACATCCTAGCGTGGAGAAGTTCGGTGCAGATTTAATCACGCTGCGAGTCAAACAGAGCGGTAATGGGTTTGTTGTTCTTGGAAAGGGCGTTGGCCCATGTCTTTCTTTTAGTGTGGTAACCTGTGCCCCATGCCAAGTTCGAAGCGGGCCGGCGGAATCTTTCTTTGATGAACAACGAAGTCGAAGAGGGCCGGCATATTACAATTTTAGGATGTTCCGAACGAAGCGCTGGTTTTTGAAATTCCGACCGCTAAATCACATGGTAAAATAAGCAATTCCGTTCGTTGCGGATGTCTCGAGCGCAACGCTTGTTTTTCCCGGAAAGGGCTCTGGCTCAGGGTTCTCTTTTAGTTGGTTTCCCCCTTGGGGTGGGCCGGCGGAATTATTTGCGAGAATTCTCAGGTAAAGTGCGAATGTTCAATTGAACAAGTGAGTTTTTTCGCGTGCCCGCTCGAGGAAAGTTTGCCCCCCATCTCTGATCCTCTTTAAATAACAGGGTCCGCAGACCACCGCTTTCCTTCGTAAATTAGACCGGCGAAAGACCCAACCATATGCAATTGTGAGTACCGCAATTGTGAATATCTTCTTCGGTGGCGCTCCCTATGGGGCCACGAACTGTATGAGGGGTGCGCCGAATTGCGTGGGGGGGAACACAACACGAACGAATACGATAGGTCGAATTACGAGAGACTGAGCGCGGGTGAGTCTGAGCGCAAGTGAGTCTGAGTGTGAATGGGTCTGCGTGCGAGTGAGTATATTTGCGTGAGTGTGAGCATGGCCGCGCCTGGTTTATGTGAGTTCGTACGCGTTTTCCGCAGGAGCCGGAGGCCTTCGGACACGGCAACGCCTTTGCAAGTTGCCTCCGTAGTCGCCCCTTGTTGTTCAAGAAGGCCGGCCGGGCCATAGATTCAGGCACCACGCACATTCAACAAGATAAGCTACATTTCCTGTATTCCGTGCTGCGAAACGTGATTGTTTTCAACGTGCCGGCACCAGAGCCGGTCTGCCAGTGTCATTTTGAAGGTGTTCGTTGTGAGACGAGCTCGGACACGGATTGCCATCACATTGAGCGGATCTTGATGCGTCAATTGGAATCGGTGCGGTTGCAGCTTAGCTCATCGTTAACCTGGTGTTCAGCGTGTGAAGAGCGGCCCAGGTACACCGTCGACGCTATGTTTACGTGAGTGGTCATGGGCGCTCCTGATTTTAAGGAAGGGCAGATTTTGGTTCGGTGCGACGATGATCAACATTTCACGTGGCTTTATCGAGTATCGCTGGCGTTCATCTCCTCGAGCAGTTGGCCCGTTCTCGCGCCGACACGAGGCTCGCACACAGTGGACGGCGAGACTTTCAGGATCGAGCCGCTTGCTCGAGGACGAGATGCGCCGAGGCGTTGCTGGAACGATTTTTTCTTGTTCAATCCGCGCCCGGTGCGGGAGTTCAGTGAGGCCTTTGCTCGAGCTAAGGAGCTGGCGGACTTCGCTGACGAGGACACCGAGTTGGACGACACTGAGGCATGGATCATCTCGGGCCTGTCGCACCTTCGGTTCGGCGAGCAGGTGGGGCAGGGCATCCTGGAGGGCGCCATGCGCTCAGGGGCGGCCAAACCGACCCCTAGCAAACCATACCCTTGCGTAGCGAGTTTTGCGTTTTCGAGGTCAATGCGGTTCGCGCGTGCGTTGGCTGCAGACTCGAGCAAAATGAATTGCCCTCGCGCGAAGCGCTCTCGGGGCACGACCGGCGCCGCCCAAAAGGAATTCGCAAACAGAAGTCATGAAGTGCAGCAAGTGTGCCGCGCAGCTTCCTCGATTCAATGCTTACCAGCCAATCGGGACCGAACCCACCGCGCCTCTGGAGAGCGTCGAGGGCTGCGGTCCGCGGCAGCCCATGGACGGGCGCGCGTTGAGTTCCTTGTTGGGCGCGGGCAGAAGCGAGATGAACCGACGTATGCCAGCGCGTCCGCAGCGCTTGAGGCTGGTGATTCCGTCGATGGTTATAGCGCGCGCGAGCTTGGCGGCTCTCATTGCCGGCGTCGCCAGACAGGGAATTGCAGGTCCGCGCTCGCCCCTCAGGGCCTGGTCCCGTTCCGAACAAACACTGCTGTCCATTTAAACATTTAGTGCGGTGTGCCTTTGGAGGCCTCGCGATGGTTCGGCGCTGATCGGGGATTCCTTGCAGCGCGAGGCGGTGCGAGCATCGCGCGGGCGCGTTGGCGGGTGATCCCGCTATGTGCTCGGCGCGGCTTGTATTTTTGTGATTGTCGTTTTGCGCGTGCAATGTGCCCGGTGTGGCCACTGTGCCTCGCGTGCCTGGCGCCCCGCCGGTTTGCTTGGCGCGCGCGCGGCGCGCGCTTGCCGCGGGTTACCTTCGATGTCTATTTGCTTGCGTTCCCTGCCCTCCCGCATTTTCGGCCCTCGCTTTGAATTCGCGGCGCTTCGCGCCATATCCTTTCTCCTCTACTCTCCCCCCCTCTCCTCGTCCTCCTCCTGATATTGTTCCTCCCCGCTTTTTTCCTCATCGTCCATCCCCTTCCTTCTTGCGCGGTGGGCTTTCGGTTTGTAGCCGCGCCGAGGCAATTTCAGCGCGCCCTTCGCGCCGCGCGCTGTTCGTTGCCCCCGTGCGGCTTTTCATTGAAAGTCCCTGTGGTGTAAATCGTATACTGATGCCGCAACAAGTCTAGCACGCGTTCAGGCCCCGTGCGCATCCTTGCCGACGCGTTGTGGTCGCGCGCCGCCTCGCCGACCATTCCAGAACCATTTTCACAAGGTCGGTTGCCTCATAAGGAGCTTAACCGAGATCCCACAGAGCACAGGCTGCACGCCGCCGCCCAGACTCTTTGAGGGCCGTTTCTCTCGCGGTTTGCGTCTCCATAAATTTGGAGCTCCATTGAGGGCCCCTGTGGCGCAGGCCGCGAGCCGCGTCCGGGCCATTTCAGCGCGCCCGCCACGGCATTCGTGCCCCCATAGGGACTGCCACCGAATGCTTTGTGGGATAGGCCGTTTGCCACCGCCCAGACCGTTTTAGTTCACTCAATGTAAGGTTCGCGGACCCCCGCGGAGCTGTACCACATGTATTGATGTTGCGCAGGACGCATGCCACCGCGCAGACCGCTGCAGCACGCCCATCGAACGGTTCGGCGCCCAATCATACGAAACCCCATCGAAGGCGTCGTTTGCAGCGCAGGGCGCGCGCTGCCGCTCACACTCTTTTAAAACGCCAGCCATGCGCTCCGTGGCAACATGAGGGGTTTTGCCGAAAACGCTGGTGGCACAGGCCGCACGTCGCCGCCCGGGCCATGTCAACAGTCTTCGCGCGATCCGCGGCCGCATGAGGAAACTCCACTGAAGGGTCGTCAGGCGCAAACCGCACGCCGCCACACAGACCATTTAGCACACACTCCTCACGGTTCGTGGCCCCGTAGGGAACTCTGCCGAAAGCGTTTGTGGCACATGCCGCATTGCGCCGTCCAGACCATTTCAGCACGCGGCCAACGTGTTTTGTTGCCAAATGTGGAACACAGGCCGCAAGCCGCCGCCCCAAGCCAATTCAGTGTTGTCTGGCGCGATTCGTGGGCCCATTGGGAGTTCTAGCGAAGGGTTTTGTGGCGCAGGTTGTTTGCCGCCGCCCAGACCATTTAAGCGCAGTCTTCACACGCTTGGTGGCTTCATGGGGAGCCCCACAGGAGGCCCTTGTGGTAAATTTCGCATGCGGACTCATTGTGTTCGCGCGTGTCGGGCGGTCTTGTCTATTTTCGCGCTGCGTTCAGAAAGTGTTGGCTCTTTCGCCAGGTTCACTCTGTATTGGAGGGGCAGAAGGGAAACATCGTAAAGACGGACCAGCATGATGAGGACGATCGATGGCGGGGTCACTAATTATTTGAAGGATGACGCGGGCGAGGGGCGCCTCCCATGAGGGGCATTCAGAGCATTTTTTTAGCATGTGGGCGAGCAGTGTTTCACAGTTGCAATATATTTTGGTGCGACTCGGAGCTGGCACAGTGCGTGGGCGGACGGCATTGGAGGCAGGATCGACGAGGGGGGCGTAGGAGCAGAAACGAGGGGGGACGAGGGGCAGAAACGGGGGCGGCGGGCAGGGCAGGGGGGGGGCAGAGGGCTTTGCGGGGAAGCCCATGGAAGGCTCCGCGAGGGCTCCCATGGGCCCGCGGTGGGTCCGGACTCCCCCCCCCGCGGTGGGTCCGGACTCCCCTCGGCATAGTTTTTTTACACGTCTGGGAGGACTGCCGAGGGGAGTCCGAACCCACCGCGGCCCCCATGGGCGCTCCCGCAGCGGTGGGTTCGGACTCCCCTCGGCAGTGGTTTTTGACATGTCCGGAGGGGCCTGGCGCGGGCTCGGCGTGGCCCCCCAGGGCCCTCGAGTCCGTTGCGACTGGGGATCCAAAGCGCTCTCTGGGTCCCAGAGTTGTCGTGTCGTTGGGGGCATGGGCGGGGGAGTCAACCGATGCTGCCTCCAGATTGCGACACTGGGTGTGCGAAAATGAGCTGATGGAGCCTGAGCGGGACCTGCAGCGGGCCGTCCTGTAGCTGTCTTGATGTCTTGCATCAGTGCCGTATCAGGATGTTGTGTTTTTTTTTCTCGGGGGCATCTTGGCGACTCCCTGGTGCCCCATGGGAGATCAATGGAAGGCTTGGGATTGCGTTGCCGCGAACTCGGTTTGTCTTCGAGCCGTCCTTCGCCTGCCTTGGAGGCGACGCGGAGGCATGTGAGCCATCGGAAGATTAGTGTGATGGAGCTCTTGGAGGCCGTCGTTTTGTACTAATTCTCGTGTCTGTTGGGTCCTCGTTGTGAGCCCGCAGCGCTGAACGCCTCCTCTTCTGTCTTCCCCCCCTCTACCGCCGCCTCCTACCCCAAGTCGCTTCAGCTCCTCTTCATATATCATTTTTTTTTGCATGGTGGATCTTTGCTTTGTCTCCGCCAATGCAGTTTCGGCACCCCGTCTGAACGATTCGTGGCCCCATAGGGCCCCGCCGAAGGCCTCCGTCGCACAGGCCGCTTTCCGCTGCCCGATGCCAATTCAGCACGCACCCCGCGCGGTTCGCGGCCCCATAAGACGGTGACACCGAAGATTCTCGCAGCAAAGGATGCGCGCCGCCGCCCAAGCCATGTCAGCACGCCCTTCGTTCGGTTCGTGGCCCCATAGGATGCTACGCCGAAGTCTTTTGCAGATCGGGCCGCTTGCCGCCGCCCAGACAATTTAAGCGCCCCCCTCAAACAGTTCGTGGCCCCATTAGAAGTTCCACCGAGGGCCCTTGCAACACGGGCCGCCTGCCGCCGCCTAGTCCACTGAAGGTCTTGCTTCGCCCCGCTCGTGGCCCCGAAGGGAATCCCGCCGAAGGCTTTTTGGGCATAGGCCGCATGCCGCCGCCCAGACCGCTTCAGTTCTGTATTCGCACGATTCGTGGCACCATGGGAAGTTCGGCCGAAGATTTTTGTTAGTGCGCAGTGCTTCCGACCATACATGGTCAAATCAATTATCGCGCGCATCGTGGTTTTATTGAGGTCAACGCGGGAGGTTGCTGTTGCACACGCCGCGCGCCGTCGCCGAGAGCATAGCAGCGCGTTCTCACGCGGCTCGTGGCTCCACAGGATGCAACGCAGATGACTTTTGTCGCACAGGCCGCTTGGCACCGCCCAATCCACTCCAGCACCCCCTCACACTGTTCGTTGCCGCACAGGGGGCTCGACCGAAATTTGTCGTTCCAGCGCAGGCCGCACGCCGCTGCCCAGTCCATTTCATGGTTTAGCTCTTGTAATCGTGGTCCCATACGGAACCCCGCCGAAGGCCCTTGTAGCGCAGGCAACTTTTCGTTGTCTGGGCCACGTCAGCACGCCCTGACACCCCATAGGGAACGCCACGAAAGGTTTTGAAACACAGGCCGCTTGCCGCCGCCGAGACCATTTCAGTCCTTTCTTCATTCGGTTCGTGGCATCATAGGGAGCTCCACCGCCGGCCATTGTAGCACAAGCCGCGCGCCGCCGCCCGGACCATGTCAGTACAGTCTTCACGCGGTTTGTTCGTGGCCTCCAAGGGGGGTGCACAGAAGGTTTTTGCGGCACACTTCGCATTCGGGCTCGATGTGCTGGTTAGTGTTGCATGCGCGCTGCGTTCTGAAAGGGTCTGCCCCTTCGCAAAAATAAGTATGTGAGTCTGTGTGGGGCTCGTCGTGGCGCTATTCTATGACTGCGTGGAACTGCGCCCTGAAAGAAGACGAGTCTTGCGTTTGGACGGCCGGTAATGTCAGTCATGCCAACCTTGCAGCGCGCACCCTTTTGAACCTAGCGTGAGACGTGCCTTCACCGTCAGCCCCGACCTTGGGCGAGACACGCGCGGCGCTGCAGACATTCTGCAAAACCGACTTCATCACAAGTGTGCGGGAGGCGCGCTAGTCGCAAATAATTGGGTACGCACTTGCCAGACGTGCAACATAACGCAACATTTGTTGCATCGCTGCGCGACGAAAACGTAAATATGTGCGCCAGCCGAAAGCATTACAGGACAGCAACACCGTGACACGTGATACAGCCAACTCTGACCACCGTCGGGGGACGCGGTGGGTTCGGTCCCGATTG